CAAATTCCTTTTCTAGGTTCCTTATTTCCTATATTTCTTATCATACATCATCTCATAACTTTTAAGAACCATTTCTTTAAGTGTTTTGACTTTTATACTTTGTTAGGCATAATTAAGCATCTAATGCGCCGTAAATAAATTTCCATCTTTTCCTTTAATTCGGACTTGAATTACTACATCAATGAGTCCTACTCATTAGTGTATGAAGAGAAAAGATATGTTGGTTGTCAACTATTGACAATTCGAGTTTTTCAACTCAATACTTCATGTTCATCAAAACTACCTAGTATTTTGAATACATGATATCCAACCGTCCTTTAGGAATTTAGTCATAAAAGTCAATTATGAGAAGTTTTATTTTAGAAATGCCTTTTCTTTCCTTAAGAACCATTCTCAAAAGATTTCCTTTAACCAATCATTGGAAACATTATAATTTGATTTAGAACTCTACAAATATAAGTGCAAAGTATTACCATTTATCAAGATAACATAATAAGCATTGAAATACATGCAAACAAGCAATTTCAATCTTATTAAGCGTTTTATCCTCGCATTAAAATTTGTCCCATTTAGGCAAGAATAAAACGATTCCAAGATCCCAAAAATCAAAAAGTGATTAAGCATGATTTGGCTTGTCTTAACACTTAATATTTTAAGGTAAGCAATCTAATTGCTAATAGCTCTAAGCTACTCTTGGTTTGATAAAACATCGCATCTAATGCTTTCTTGACGTTTTATCTCCATTGCCACGACATCTAAGGACTCCTTACTGATATCGTTGAGTCTAACCAAAACTAACGTGTATGCGATGCCTTGCTTTGGCAAGCCCACCAACATACCTTACTTCCCTAGGAAAATAGTAATGATGTACTTTGGCACAACCCATTACTATTCTCATTAGTTCCGTAAGTGTCAATTTGGAATGACAAATTTAACTCAATTTCTTTGGGACTTAGGGTTTCTATGTTGGTTGATTTAAGTGAACTAAACTAATCATCACAACATTCAAAATCCTAAACATGCATCTAACATCGCAATTATATAAGCAAAATATATAAAGCATAATTCAAGATGCATTTGGCAATTAGCATGACCCCTTGAGTCTTCAAGTCTTCAAGGGTCTTCATCACATCATCTCGGCCTCATCTTCTAAGAATCGCCATCTTCGAGACATCGCCATTAATAATGCAACTACTAGTAAATACGACTAGGACTAATCTCAATATTAAGGTACAAAAATACGCAACGGTACGCAGATCGTATTTAGATTTACAAAAAATACATAACGGATCGCAGTTTGTATTTACTATCCTAATCGAGCCCCACTAGTTGCCATTTTCATAAAACCTGTGATTGAATATTCATTCCATTCATCCATTCACTATATGTGAATAGCCCATGCATTTTACAACGTAAAACAAGTAACAATGCGTAACACGCACAAACTAGTAACTAATTTAGATGGTTAATCCAATTAACGCCCTAATTAAACTAGTCTAAGTTGTTAACTGATTATGTGATTAAACGCAATAAAATTAGCTCAAGTAATTAACAAAGCTCCCACTAAATTCCGCATCCAACTTAATTAAAATTATCCTAATTAATTTAATTAAGCTGGTTTACCCAAATTTTGCCAAAATTATTTTGCAAGTGCCGGCAAAAACCGAGGCCTAGCCTCGTTTTAATAATTAAATAAAATAATTAAAACGACAAAATCGCAAAATAGTAGCCCACCAACCGGCCGAGGGCCTAGCATCCAAGCCATGGGGCTAGGGTTACTAGGCACCAAGGCCAAGGCTTGCGTGCAGGTGCTGGCATGCCCAGCTAGCAGCGCATGCCACGCCTGCTGGCACCAGCAGCCTTACAACATGCTATGCATCCTCGCACGTTGCTGGCGCTGGCAGCGTGTGGCTGGCCTGCTAGTGTTCGCAAGCCTCGCTGCCGAGCAGCACTTGCAGGCAGGCTTTAGCATCCACGCAACAGCTCGCATCACTGCACCAAGCTCACACACACGCACCATGAGTCGCGCATTGATGCACCAGCAGCCCCGCACACCTCGGCAGCCCGGCTGGCTGAGGGAGTGCTCGGGGTTTGTGTGCCTCGATTTACGTGCTCGTGCCCTCGGGATTTTATCCCGATTTTTTGTGTGATAATAAAATTAATTCTAAATTAATTTTAGAACCAATATTGAGCAAAAATGAATATAAAACAAGTCCAACTTAAATAAATTCAATTTTAGTGCACAAACAAAAATTAATTCAAGAACCATTCTTTAAATTATTTTTGGCTCAACTTGATGCTATAAAAATTGAGGGCTATTCTCACAATTAATTTAACCAAACATAAATTAATAATGAGATTTGACAAAATAAAAGGAGTTGGAAAAATAACCACAATCATCCAATGAAAAATTTCCAACACTAACTTGTGTTAACTTGAAAAATTACATCTTCCAATATGAAGATTAATTAAATTTCAATCACAAGTTTTGAACTTTTAAGACTTTAAGTAACTCAAAAAATGATTAAATAAAAAATTAGTTCAACATGGAATCTAGTAAAGTTCCAACCAAATAAACAAATAAAATTGGATCTTTAACATTTTAAGGGCTTCAAAAATAACAAATTCACCATAAACATTCACACTCAAAGCAATTATTTGCAAAAATGTGAAATTGAAAGTTTATGTGAAAAATGAGCCAACCAAATTAAGCACCTATTAGAACTTTGTAATCATGCTTAAAAAGGCTTATAATTGCAGTAGATTAATGATGTAACCATACACATAATCTAACATTAACATGCCATAATTAATCAAGGTTTAAAGATTTAAAATTTTTCGTCAAAAACAAAAAAAAACCCCTCGAAAAACATGTTTCTGGGTAGATTTTGGCTACTGGACAAGCCTCTAAAAGGGTCAAAACTAATTTAGAACATCGATTTCACCCAAAATTCACTACTTTTGGGTCGAAATCTGGGCTCTTGAGCCAAAATTAGCTTAAATACGAGATTAAAACTAATTAAAACAAACTTCGAATCTAATTAGAAAGCAAAACCAGAAATTTAAATCCATTTAAATCACCTTAATTAATTATTAGTTACAATAATTAAATGAGCGCGACTCCGATACCGCTGTTTGGTTTCATAGTGTCCGACACTACGCGGAATGAAACCCTCTCAAAATCCGTACACAAATTATAGTAACTAAACATGCATATTAACAATTACATAATTAAATAACAAAGAGAAAGAAAACGATCATACCCTTGATGCGTGCTTAGCTCCTTTTAGAGCTCAAACTTAAAAGCGTAAAGCTCCGCAAATGCGCAAGCCTCCAACAGCTCTCACCCTCGAGACCCGACCCGAACGGCCCCTACCCCGAAGCTTATTCGGGGCTAGACCAAAATAATACTAGAGTATTACGAACTTAAAGGTTTTCTCACCTATTGGGAGATGCCTTATTGAGTTCAACTCAATGCCTAATCCCAACTCCTAAAGTTGGTATTTATAGGCAAAGGCTCCCAAAAACTTCAATCATCTTTCCATGTGGGAGAAACGATAGAGTGAAAAAAGTAAGCAATTAATTTAATTCTAAATTAAATTAAATAGCAAGACAAATAATAAAACAACACTTGGCACACACATGGGAGGGGTTAGGTGAGGACCACAAGGGAGGATCACATCTCCCCTTGTTCCCCAAGCAAAAGCTCTCCCTTCTAAGCATGCACCACGTGGCAACCCTTTGCCTTGGGTGACAAGGGTTCCACGTGGGCAGCCCTTGAGCTCACGGCTAGGCCTACAAGCACAGTAGGCCCGCAAGCTTGCTGCTGGGCGCTGCTCGCTTGTAGGCTGCCCTTGCGGCTAGTGGCTAAACGAAGCCTAGCTAGCTAGCTAACGCTGCTAGCACGCATGCTAGCTTGGCCAGCTCGCACAGCCCCGCGTCACTCGACCAGCTTGCTGCTCGGCCTGTGCGAGGGCTTGTGCGGCGATAGCACGCCCAACCCCGCATGCCCCGGCCAGCACCACGCTGAGCCTATGTGAGGCCTTGGGTTGCGGTTTGGCCTTGCCTCCACTAGAGTGGTGCGACAAGTCCTTGTGCTAGCCTAGTATGTCGTGTCGTTTGATTATTTTACGTCTCGTTGATTCCTAGAATCGTCTTAACTTACGACGTTCGGTTTTCGACGCTCTAAGCTCGGAACCCGACGTCTATGTTCGTAATACTCTAATGACTCATTTAATCCTTTCAATTAATTCGTCGTGTCGTTTCGGTTCGGTTACTCAATTGGGTGTGACCCGAAGGGTTCAGTCAAGATTACGCTGTAATATTAATTATGCATTAATATTACTGATTGGAAGCGGCCTCCAGCTAGGCATTCCGATCACTTGACCTCACTAAATAATTAGTTTTCTAATAATTCCGAACCCTCTAACGGAATAATATACTTGTTCGAAGGACACCATTCCTTTCACATTTGGCTTTAACTACCCTTCAACCTTAAAACCCACAACAAAGAAAAATCCTTGATCTAGTTTTAATTATCCTTCAATCACCCTCAACAAAATGTATTGTACATGTAATAACTCGTCTCCTTTTTTTTTTTTTAAAAAAAAAAAAAACTCCCTATGTTCTTTTAATATTTGCATCAATTTGAGTCTTTGATCAATATATCTGTCAAGATAAAACTTTTATGGAGTATTCATTTAATAATAGTAAAAAAGATAAAGTTAAAAGAGAGTATGTGAACAATGCATTATTATTTATTTATTTATTTATTGAAACATAATAGGCATTATTTAAAGTGGCTGGAAAACGAATAAAGAGTATATAAAGAAAAAAAAATTGACAAAATAACATAAGATTAGGGGTATAATTCCCGTAAAAAAAAAAAAGAGGGGTTTTAAATTCTATTCCGTATTATGCTACGTAGTATATTTTTTTTTGCTTGGTATACTACGTAGTATTTAGTGTAATACAAACAAAGTTTTATTCAATTTTTAACTTTACTACGCAACAAGTCTCACAAAGTATCAAATTAGCCTCAATTATTACAACAAAAAAACAAATTCAATCCATTTTTTTCTCCTTTGTTATAAATCGATCCAATTTCGTAAGAAACAAACAAACAAAAACCATTTTTTTCGATTATAGGAAATGTCTGAATCGTCGAACGTCTCGGCGCCGCTGCTGCGGTCGTTGCAAGGGTCGTCGGAGGCGGAGAATTCACCAAGGATGCCACAATCAACGGCGTTAGCCCTTCTTCTAGGCCGAGCTGCCGGCCGCCGTGGTCCGTCGATGTTAGTCCGAGAGACGGCGGCGCGTGAGCTCGAGGAGCGTCGAGCTGATTGGGGGTATTCCAAGCCAGTTGTTGCTCTTGATATGTTGTGGAATATGGTGTTTGTTGTTGCTTCATTTGTGATGCTGATTTTTACTTTTGATGAAAACCCTAATGTTCCGATTAGGGTTTGGATCTGTGGGTATGCTGTGCAGTGTTTGGTTCATGTTTTGTTGGTGTGGATGGAGTATCGGAGGCGGAGGAGGAGTGGAAGTTTGAGTGTCCGTCGTGGTAGGGATGATGATGTCGATGTTGAGGCGGGCGAGGGGGGTGAGTTTAGGGGGAGGTATGATTTGGATGGTAATGATAGTGATGGGGATGATGATGGAGTTATGTTTGGGGGTTCTGCTCAGTCAAGGTATAAAATAAGCTTTAATTCGGGTTTTGTTTAGCTGATTTGTTAGTGAATTCGACCTCGAAAATGATCTCATGTGTTAATTTTTTATATTGCTAAAGTATTGCATATTTGTTTGTGAGTTAATGTTAGTTTCATGTGTTAATTTTTTATATTGCTAAAGTTTGGCATATGTGTTTGTGAGTTAATGTTAGTGTTGTTTTCAAGCTTGTGAAGGTATAGATAATAATAGCTGAAGAAGTATAATGTTATTCGAAAGAGTCTGAAATTGAGTAGCAGCAAATTCAGTTGATAGTAGTGCTGAAGACTTTAATTTGTAATTATAGATATAAGAAGAGGGGGACAGAGTTATATAACTTAAAGAGTTTGGGGAAACAAAAGAAAAGGTGGCTAAGGTCGTCTCAAAAGCCATTCTTATAGGTGAAATTAGACTTGATGCTTTTATGATAGATTTTGTAAGGAACTACTTTGTTTCCTTACCTGTAGAATGATGCTGATTGTTTAATAGGTTGGCATTCATAATAATATATAGTTGGAGTCTATAAAGTTATAAAATACACACTGAAGCAATCTATGCTGGAGTTTGATTTATTATGACAATCAGATTCTTCATTTCATCTCATGTACCGTTTGTTTCGCACTGCAGGTTTATGAAGACTTAACTTTTTATTTAGGACCAAACCACGTAAAATGTATCATAAATGACTGAGCTTGAAAGCTGAACTTATACCCTAATACGACTATTTTAACTACATAAGTGAAGCTGCATAACCCCATGAAGTAAAGAGGAACTTGGACTTTATAAATGTAATACTTAGAAATTTGATGTTGATCATCTTACACTCTTGGCTTCTTTAAGTGTTCTTAATCAACAGTTGCCCCAAATCATGTTTCTTGTAGCATAGTTGCTGTTACAAAGGGAGTTGTCCTGAAGATGATATAAGAAAGGTGTTACTGTGTTAGTGCTTAAGGAAGAGGTGTTTATGTTTAGAGTAGTGGGTCTAGAGTTTTGATATTTGGTTCAATTATTTATTTGGAGAGAAAAATTCTGGGTTTCTGGTTTGGAGAATTGTGTTTTAAGCTGACAGGAGGCGCATAGAGAGAGGGTAGGGACTAGGGAACATGCTAATGATTAAGCTTGCACTAATGTTTTTTTTAGAAACAATGATCCAAATTCCTTCACTGATGTAGCTTAACATTGTGTTTGGAATACTTGGGTAGTAATGGTGGAGGGAAAGGGAAGGCAAAGGGAAGGGAAGGCAAGGGAAGAAAAGGGAGGGAATGAAAAGGCAGGGAGAAGTGGGTTTGTGTTTATTAATCGGGAAAGAAACCTGTCTTTTCCCATCATCCACATTGCTCTTCCTCCCCCGTTCATAGTAATGGATAATTGATCATTGAAATCAAACACTATAATAACATTTATCATGGTTGTCAATTGCCATCATCACAAATTAATAATTACTCTTCTGCATTGCTGCATTCTTTCTTTTTTAAGTATTCTTTGACTGCTGTATAACTTAATAGCCTACTTGTATTGTGGTGTTTAATGTTTATTTGTAATGGTACAGTTTCTCCAAAAAATGCGAATCTGTGAACACAATGGCATCATTTCTTTGGTGGATTGTTGGCTTTTATTGGGTGGTTTCTGGTGGGGAGCAGCTACTGCAAGATGCCCCACGGTTGTATTGGTATGTTCCTTTTACCCTCCAAACACTAAAATCACCCCCAATCCCCAGTGAAGAAGTTAAAATGAATGAAAAGATAAATAGAAAGGAATTGTAGAAGAATTTTATCTATGAACAGGTCCAACTGATAAGTTATGTCTGGACTGTTTAATATTACCAGAATATGGTTGAGGAGGGTCCGTCTTACAATTTGTTGATTCATTTTTGTAAACTTTAATTGCCTGTATTGTGCTTTAATTTGCACTTTGGTGCCCTTCTTTTTGCCAGATATCTTCATAATGATTTTACCTTTAATCATGTCTGCTATATTTCTAATCAATTAAATGCTTATTTGTGCAGGTTGACTGTTGTTTATCTGGCATTTGATGTTTTCTTCGCCATATTCTGTGTTGTGCTGGCCTGTTTAATAGGGATCGCCCTATGTTGCTGTCTTCCATGCATTATAGCAATTCTTTATACAGTTGCTGGACATGTATGGAAATATACCCTATTCTAGTTAAAAATCACCTAGTTACTCCGTGGCCTTTGATTTATTGCTTATTCATTTTTATGGTCTGGAAAACAGGAAGGTGCCTCTGAGGCAGATCTTAGTGTGCTTCCAAAATACAAATTTCAGGCATCAGCTAATGATGAAAAGCTTGATGTGCGTGCTGGAGTGATGGTTCCAATGGAGTCTAGTAGTGGATACTTGGCGACTGAACGTGTTCTTTTACCTGAAGATGCAGTAAGTCCTCTTCTTTTTGTATTTTGAAGTTGGCATTGCCTGAGCAGAGTACAAAATTCATGCGAAAATTATACTTGCTGCCGTTATTGTGAAATATGCTTACATTGGGGTTGCTGTGTCATTTGTGTGGAATCGAACTGCTAATATTGCTGAGAAAGAGTGAAGGGTATTGGCTGTGGTCATTTTCTTTCTTTCTTTTTTTCTTTTTTCTTGTTTTGTTGTTTTTTGTGATGGGGAGAGGGGGGGGGGTGGTCTGAGGTCAAGTGGAGGTACAGAGAGGGGAAAAGGATTGTGGTTGAACTGTGAGGTGATATTGGTCAATGTGTTAATCAGCTTTATCTATCCTGAATCACAAGTGAAGAAATTAGATTATCACATACTCCGTAAATCGTACGGGTAATGATTTTTTGACATCCACATGACAGTGAGTCAGTGACCAGTGCTCTCAGGAGACATGAATCCTTATATTGTAAAATCAAGTTATTTGATTGCTAGTCGGTGAATTTCATGAATGATAAGGAATGACAACCTCTATGTGATACCTTAGCCTTTTTGTTCGATTACTCCCTCATTCCCATAATAAAGAATAAAGTGTATATATTCCTTTTTGGGTGCTCCAAATTGTTGTGCCTTTTGTAATAGTTCTATTAATATTTACATAATTTAACCTTAATACACCTACATTTTTAACTTTCCCAAAAACCTTTACATTTTTTCAATTTTATGTGCCATAATCTACATTAAAGATTCATTAAATGTCATCATACCTTTCCCATATAAAATACCCATCTACATTAAAGATTCACTAAATGTCATTATTTACTCTCTTTTCTTTTTTTTTTTTTTTTTTTTTTTTAACCTTTCCCATATTAAAATACCCCTACTTTTAAGAATATTACAGTCCCTTTACTACCCTTTAATCCTTTATTCCCTTGAATAAGAGAAATGGGCATTATATTATGGGGCAGAGGGATTTTATGTTTGGTTCTTTGCCTTAGAAGATGGAACTAGGAAAATCCTAAACTATGAGATTACCTTGGCTTTAGAAACTATTTTCGCTCTCTTGTTTAAAAGGTCAAATCTTCATTATATATTTATGAACTTTTCATCTCAATTCATGTACAAATGAACACTCGCGCTACCCTTTATCCTAGTTCCCAATCTACCTAGGGATGATGAAGTTTTTTTTTGTTTTTGTTTTTTTTTTTTTTTTTTTTAAAGTCTAAAATACAGATACGGTGGACCCTTCCACTTACATCTTTGCTTCATAAGCATTCTCCTCATCCCCCTTTCTATCCTCAATGTTGTGGAATCCATCTATTACTTTGATGTAGGAAGCCTAAATACTTCTTCCATTTCAACATAATTGCACCAGTTCCAATTGGCACATTATTTAAGAAAGAAGAATTAGAATATTTTTAAGACAACACTAGTTACAGTACCCTTCTAAGGGTGTGGAGAGAGATGCGTGTGGGGTCATGAAAGGAAAATTTTGAGTCAAAAATAGTCTTTTTGTCCTAATTTGCCTACCAAATAAGGAAACGGTGCATAACATATCTGAAAAACGGTGCAAACATATTGAAATGGAGGAAGTAATTATGACCAGTGACAAATTAGTAATTATGACCAGTGCTGAACTCTAGCTATGAATTGACCAACATTTTTCTCATCACAGATTGATAATGATGAATAGAAAAGAGGGAAGTTGGAACTGTGATCATAACTTTATCTATTTACTACTTAGCAATGATCTGGCAATTGATTATATCCTCACAACATCCAATAGTCCTAATAGTGCTCAATTTGATTGTTCTTCGTGGAGTGGGAGAGTATTGTCATTCTCATGTAAATGATATCGTTGTCAAAGTCTGATATTGGTTTTTGTCTGCTGAGAGTTGATGTTAGGTTACGTATAACTTAAGTGGGTTGCTACTTTTCCGAGTTATGGTTCAGTTTAATCAGGAATAACGTTGGGTACAGGTGCTAATTTTAGGTAGGATTCTTGCGAGGTGCTAATTTGATGGCTTAGTTTAGTTTTGTAGTTACTTTCCAAAGCATTGGGCTAGAGTGGTGTCTGACATGGATAAAAAAAATTATACCTAAATCTTACTCAAGTGTGAAATGGGTAAAGCAAAAAGGGATCCAAGTGAAGTGAAATTCCCTAGGTTATATGATCAGCATGATTTAGAGTATATTATGCAATGTCTTTATGAATCCAATGTGATTAGGATTGAAAGTGTCATGCTATGGATGGTACTATATGTCATTTTCTATTTTAATAATAAGTTGTCTTAATGTTCCTATCATTCTTGAAGACCTCTTTGTTTGCATTTCTGTTCTTTTGCATGGCGTTACTTAAATGCATCTGATGTAAATTCTAAATTTCTAATCCTGTTAGGCTGCTACCTGCTGTTTGTGATGCGAGTTCTCTTTTTTTTATGTGATAAAAATTACTATTACTCCAATCTGCAGGAGTGCTGTATCTGTCTCAGTTCATATGATGATGGAGCGGAGCTGAATGCTCTTCCTTGCAACCATCATTTCCATGCACCATGCATTGTGAAGTGGCTTAAGATGAATGCAACATGCCCCCTTTGCAAATACAACATCGTCAAATGATAGTACATCTCTGAACATACGAAGGAAACTGTTTAGCTCTCAATTGGCTTTCTATTTGTACAGATTTGAAAGGGAAGGAAAATAGTTCCAAGCGTGTGATGGTCATCATTTTGGTCCTTGATTTGCTGCCTTTTCAAATTGCTTGCAGCTATCATTCTTTTATAGATGCTTCTTCCTGCTGGATTGACCAGCCTGATAAATTCAAATCAAGTTAACGCTTGAATGGATGAAAGATCTTCTACTTAGCTATGTATATCGTTTGATTATACTTTTGATTGTAATTATAGAGGTACCAAAATTTCACGCAAAGATTTTAGTGCTGTAAGTCTTATGATCATTGTGTGATTTATGTAATCAGTTTATACGGACCCGTAAAAAAAATTTATTTCTGCTGTTTTGTTGAATAATATTTTGTTCTAGAAATTAGAAGAAAGAGTTGTTTCTATTTCATGTTTGGTTTATCATTTTAACAGGTGACTTTATTTAAATTCACTATGTGATTATTAAACTTGGATGTAGGTAATACTAACGGTCATTGATGGTAAATGTATACTCGTAGTTGATAATCTGAGGTAACATTTATAATACACCCTCAGTCCCTTAAAAAAACGATCCTTTTGGGCATTTTTTACGGGATTAAGAAACTTAAGTGGGAAGTACAAGTGTATAGGAAAGTTAATAAAAGTACATTGAAAAGGTAAATTTACATGGGAATTGCAAAAAAGTAAAAAAAGTACATGAAAAAAGAAAAAATTTATATGAGGAAGCAAATTTTACACAAATATTATTGTAAATTGGAGGTTATTTTAATGCAAATGGGATGAATATTTTGGGACTAAAATTTGGCCAAAAGGGGTCGTTCTTTTAGGGACCGAGGGGGTAGAAAACAATTTACAATCATTAATCAAATTCGACGGAGTGAGGTATAATTTTTTTAATGAAAAAATTGCCATGATTAATCCCAACTTTGCATCATCCGTTTAAAATAATCTCAACTTTGGATTTTTTTTTATTAATCTGAACTTTATACCCCGTCCGCCCATAACACTTCCAACCGATCATCCAACCTAATACTACGTATTATATATTACCAGACACGTGTCAGCGTTTAATTGGTTTTTAAAAAATATAAAAAAAAATAAAAGATTTGAAAGCTTCGACCACCACCACCACCTCCCCCTCCATCAGCCCCAGCCGCCACCTCCCCTAGCCTTACTCTTGAAACCACCAGGAGGGTGGTCGAAATTCAACGGAGAAGGGAGGGGGTGGTCGAAATTCAACGGGGAAGAGAAGGGGGAAGAATCCGGTGTGGAAGGGAAATAAAAGGGGGTGGAAACGGCAAGGGAAGGGAGGGGGCAGTCAGAATTAGATGGGGATGGGAGGGGTGGTCGGAATTCGATGGAGAAGGGATGGGGGGCAGAATCCGGCGAGGAAGGGGGCGAAAACGGAGGGGGAAGGGGGTGGTCGGAGTTGGATGGGGATGGGAGGGGGAGGGGTTACGGAAAGTGTTAAGGGGAAAAAGGAGGGTGGTCGAGGTAGCGCTGCCGCGCTGGTAGCGGGGGGAGGGGAAGGGGATCTTGGCGGCGGTCAACACTGAGGGGGGAAGGGGGTTGGGCTGGTCGTGGGTGGCAGGGCATGGGTGGCTGGGTTGGTGGTTTTTTTTTTTATTTTTTGTTTTTACCTTTTTTTAATTTATTTTTTGACCAATCACATGCTAACATGTGTATATTCAATTTTTTTTAAAAAAAAATTTACCTACTCAACAGGTCATCAGTCACTTGGAAGTGTTATGGCGGATAAAGCAAAGTTGGGATTAATCATGACAATTTTTCCTTTTTGAATTGACTATTCTTTTTACATCTAATATCATGATTTAATAATAAACATAGCCTTAATTAATACTTCATAAGAAGCTAAAAATGGAAAGATTAAGGATTAATAAAAATATAATATATTGATTTACACGTATTTTATTTTGAATTTTCAACTTTATCGGGAGTAACATTTTAGAAAATTTTTTAATGCTTATATATAACTAGAGGTGTAGGCAAGGTTCTTAGGATCCCACATTCGATCGGTGAGAGGACTACGATTGAATTGGTAAAACCGGATCGTAGAATCGTAAGATCCTATGAAATTGATTAAAGGAGTAATAAAAAGGTTGCTACACAACTGGATACATTTTTAAGCTATAAAAATGCTAATTCTAGTTTAATATTAGGTAGTAATTTTTAAGGATTAGAGAAAAGATTGATTGCTTTGGGCTCATTTTAATAAGTAAAAAGTAGGATCGGGTGATCCTGATCGATTGTACACAATTCTAATCGATCCTACACGATTTCTGACTAATTTTGTACAATCCAATAGTATTACAAGTGAAAAGAAGGATCGTCCGATCCTACCCGATACCCGATCTTGTGCAATCCTACACGTTCCTGCTCGATCTTCTACGATCCTAACCGATCCTACAACGATCCATATTGCTCTACGATTCTAAATCTGATCCAAATCGTTTGCCTAAAATCAGATCGTAGGATCACATGATCCTTTGATTTGGATAGCAATTCAAACAACAATGGGTGCAGGTGACCATCAACGATCAGACATATACACTAGCCTAATCAGACCCGACTTGAAAAAATGTAGATTTAGGCAAGCCTAATAATGTATTTTTAGTTTGTAACTTGAGCCCACTCGAAATAAGCCCGAAAACCCCGTTTTGGCCCAATAAACCCGACATGATTTTGTAGGTTTAGGTACAAGATTTTTCAAAGGGCCGCCTCAGCTCAATTATGTATCAACTCTATTGTAATGCCTTGGAAATTTCCTTCTTTTATAAATACTCATTTTCCCTAAATAAAACCCTTTTTAGGAAATAACCAAAATATTACCGCCACCGTGATAACAACTAAGGCTAATTTTCAAAGTCACACAACGAAAGTCTAAAAATAAAAACCAACTTTCAAAATAAAACTTGAGTTCACAACCTCAAACACAAAAGTAGAATAAAATATTCACAAGTTGGAACCAATTCAAACATGGCCCTTCTCAAAAACCAATTAAAAATAAACACAATATTGTTAGTCTATAAACAATAACCAATAATTCAAAATATCAAAACTAAGAAACATAACAAGTAACTCTCTGCACTTTTTCCCATCATGCTCTTCATGCTTCAAGTACCTGTTATTTCCTTTTTATTTCAACCCTCTACTCACCATATAAATGGGCCATAGTAGGGCCAATCCAAAGGAAAGCCAAACACACAAAAGTACGAATCAGCAAAGCTGAGTACATATGCACCACACTAACATGAATATCCTAGCATCAAAATAAAATAATTAAAACATGCTCGCCATACAATCACAAGTTAACTTAGCTTTGACTCATAACTAGCAATATTAATTATTAATAATAATTTTGGATTACGCATCGAACGGGTTTCCTTCCTTGAAAATAGCCCATTTAAATATTGAGCTTCCAATCAGGGAGCTACCCCAATTGACACCTACTATGTCACACTTGTATAATTCCAGCGCATTAATAATAAAAGAAAGTACAACGTCCTGTACCCCTGTAGAAGCTATGGTTAAATATAAAACTCCATAACTCCCTCCATATGTTCATACTCAAGGTATATACGTTCCAAGAGTTTTGGTGTGTATCCTCTTAAACTTTACCTGACTTACCAATTTAACTTGTGATGACTCAAACTAATCAATCAAGAATAAGCATAACAACATTCAATACAAACTTCCAATTCATTCTTGAATTAATTAGTGAGTACATACTATTTATTTTAATTAAGGTTCCTTGCTTAGTTTTGTGCACAAAATTGCACGATTACTACCTTGGTGCATAATGCACTACTAAACTTCCTTGACTCGAACTCAACTTACATGAGCGAGTAAATAATTAAATTAACTTCTTGACTAAACACCAATAATAAATGGGTGAGAAATAAATTCATTAATCCTGCCAAATAATCCTATTTTTAGCTCTTTAATTCATATATAAGCGTTGCTTATTAAATACATGCCTTCTTGATACTTGAAAATAAAACATACTTCCATGATTCATACATATTCAACTTGTATCATGCTTCAAATAACATATTCACATGCTTGCATAATAATTCATGCTCAAGCAACATCAATTCCAAGCATATAATCAACCGAACATGCAACTAATTCATTACTTAAATCATACTTTACAATCCTAACATGATACTACGCATACACAAATATTCTCGCACACATAAGTACCTTGAATAATGCCTAAACTCGGCCACACTCGCTAGAAATCACCTAGTTTGAAGCTTCCTACAAATAAGAATACATAACTATAATTAATCCACTATCCTCACAAATTTCCAGCAACTATAATACTTTAAACCTTACTAATCAACCCAATTTAATGACATAAAAGCCATAAAACCTTTTCTTTAAGTGGGTACTTCAAATCCTTTCAAAAAGACTTAGTTTTTATGACTTAAATAAAATTCCATCATACTTATATAATATAAAACATCACTAATAGACTAGGAAATCATATTTAAATCATTAAAACCTTATTCCCTTTTATTGGTAATCAAACCCTAACTCAATAATTTAAAAGTAGTGTGCATAAATAAATTCCAGCAATAATTTGAGGGCTTTAAACTCATTAAAAACATGTTTAAACCATTAAATAAACAATAACAACAACATAGGATCAAACCCTAACCATATACATTAAATTCCCAAATTCTAGGGTTTGTAAATTAGGGTTTTTTATTAAATAAAAATATGACAATTATATGAATAATTAACAACATCAAATACCCAAAATTAATACCAAAACATAATTAAAATCATGCTTTAAAAATAACAAAACAATAGAATTAAATTAGGGAGAGAAAAGAGTTAATATATATATATATATATATAACAATTCCGAACCGAAAAAGAGAGAAGGAGGAGAGAAGACGGGTGGCCGGCTGGTGGGGTGGGAGAGAAAAAGAGGATAGAGAGGAGTGGGAAAAAGAGAGAAAAAGAGAGGAAAAAGAAAGAGAAAAAGGAGAGAGAAAATAAAGAGAAAACTTTTGGGATTTTTTTGTGAAATATGACAATTATGATTTTTGAGTGAAAAACCTTAGGGTTTTAAAGTATTTATACTCCCCTTTTAAAACAAAAACTCATAATTACAAGATTATCATTACTATATCCTACTCCCCCTTAACTTCTTCCTTTGGGGCCAACTTGTTGGGCTCTTAAGTGTCTTCAATTTCCCAACAAGTTGATCCAATTATTTAAATAAGAATAACCCAATTCAAAAACACTTTTATTGTCTCAATTAATGACTCATATTATTTTATACACACTTAAATAATATTTAAATAATTAATTTCTTTTTAAATGAAATATTTTGATTTATAAAAATAAATAAAATAAATAATTTATGG